GGGGCCTTAAAGCCCGGTTTACATTTTGAGAAGTGACAAGTGCAGTGACAATGACAAGTGACAATGACAAGTGACGAATGACAAGTGTTTAGTGCATGTGAACAGGCAGTGACAAGTGCGAGTGACAAGTGATAAGTGTGAAATGAAAAGTAACAAGTGAATAGCAGCCTGCTCTATCCTCTGACAAGTATCTCTGCCCCGCACTAACCTTGCTTTCCCCTCAGTCACCCACCACCGCCCCCGTTTTAGCTGCGACGTCAGAACATACACAAGGATCTCCTAGGTGTGCGTTGTTTGTGGCTAGCAGTGACTACATACAACCGCCGGTATGACATACTCCGCTGATTCCGTGAGGCGTCGAGGTCACCGGTCCCTAGGCAGATTCTTAGGCGCTCTAAAACGTTTCGAGTTTTAACAGTGCCTAGTTGCGTTTTGAGTGCCACCATTTGCACTTCCCCCAACCCTTTCGTTAGGAAAGGGGTAGGCAGTGCCCCAGTGCCTATACCAACATCTGAAATGATAGTGGATCGACCTTTGTTAGTTAGCTTGTCCAGCGAAGCCGGAACGGTCAAGAGTAGTGTCGTCCTTTTCGCAGATCCCTACTAGGAAGTCCAGTCTCGCCGCAGAAGGAGCCCGCACCGGGCGTCGCGCTCACGCCGGCCGTGTCTGAGCACACAGTTAAGAAGGAACCGTCGCCCCAGCAGTAGCAGGCGAAGAAAACGACCAGACGTCATACGCCACCCGAGACTGAGGCCTCTTTATTTGAAAAGAGGCAACGAATCGACTCCAATTTGTCATCTTCCGATGTTCCAACATCCTCATCGGAAGATGAAGATCACTACCAAGCGGCAACGAAGAGGGTGCACAAGTCACCGCCGAAGTCGCCTTCACCACCACAACCTCCCCGCTCTATGTCAGCGGACCGGCGTAGCCACGACTTGGCCCAGTATGAGCAGGGGGGTGAAGAGTCTTACAGCTGGGGGTCTACCACGTATGCGACCCTTGCAGCATCCGCCGGCCGATCATCGCCAGTGCAGGCCACCAATCCGCCGGGCTCCCACAGGACGATGGTCAACGACCAGTTATGCCCATATGGTAGCAGCAGCAGTGGCACGACCGCAAGCGGCGGTAGAGCCTGTTGACAAGCCAGCCGATCAGGATAAGGCCAGATGAATAAAAGGGAGCGCTCGGCCTACGCGCGCTCTTTCCCGACGCATCACCGGACAAGAAAGCATCTCTGGGGCCCCAGAGTGTCTTCCAGAGGTCGCAGCGCAGCAACATAACATAGTGCCCAAGCCGCATAGAAGCAACACCCCGGTAAGTGAACATTCCTACTAGTTCCTGCTTGATATAATTGTGTTTAATAGTTAATCCGCTCCAATTTTCATTTCCTCCTAATCAAGCAGGAATCCTTTCATAGATTTGGCAAATAATAGTTCGTTTAGGTAAGAGCGAGTGCATTGTATGGGAAACCGCGTGCTATAGTCGCCATTTTGTGTAAACGAAGAAGCATTTCGCATATACAGTCCATTTGGGTTTAACATCTCGCGTAATAGGCTCAAGGCTCGACCGGGGAATTGGACTTCGGTAACCTTAGGCTCGTCGCTCCACCAATGGTGATTACATTGCTTCGATTTTTTTAATATGAAACTATTATTAAATGCATTGCTGCGTTACTTACCATAAATTGAAATATAAAATATAACACATTTTTCGCGATGTACCGTAAGATTTTACAATGTTTATAGGAACCACAGACAATATTATTTAAGAAACAAAAAAAAAACAAAACATATAGAATAGAAGTGTGAATAATATCAATATTTAGATGTTGTTATCACATCTAAATTGAGATTTTGTAAGTTACGCCTTTTGACACTCGGCTCATATCCGAGGTCATTACCCGTTTTCTCAATCGATTTGGCACACACTATAATATGTATGTGTTTAGTCTCACTGACAGCTTCACTCGCTTTCTCTTTCTAACACACGGAAGTACAGTAAGTCGCGGTAGCTCTCTTATATTCATTAGCCCAATCTATGGATTTTATACTTGATCTATGGTAAGTATAAAACTATTGGTTTGAAGATTAGCAATCATATTTGATATCATGAAGGAAGGAACAGGAGAACGATCACTACGTAATAAAGCATAGCACGCCTGTCCTTAAAAATTGTAGAATTTATAGCGGCGCTGACGTCGGTGAGTAGTGACTGCGAAGTTAGCTGTTTATGAGTACAAGTAGATGAAGTTAGTTGAATAATGTACAAATTTTCTCCGCGGTATTGGTGAGAAAATTTCCAAGCTCCGTAATTTTGTAATTTTTGACAAAAAGAAACATTAAAAAAGGAGAAATATTTTATTGTGCGTGAATCTGCAAGTGATTTAGCATCTGATCGGAAAAATAGACTGAAAATGACTTTAATTGAGCAAACATAGCAATCGTAGTACCTCACTTATGGTGTCCGTGTTTCTGGGACACTATTTTCTACGGCGATCGTTCTTCCGTTCTCTAACCGTTTTTCTGGCGGGAACTTGGCCGTCGACTGATTGTCGCTACTGTTTTGTCGCTTGAATAGTGATTTGAAGAGGATTTTAATTCGTAAAAGTGATGCGATTTTATGAATTAAGTGTCTACGCGTGTGAACTGTTAGAGTAAACGACGAAATAAGTGATTTGATGTTGATATAAACCTCAAGTTTATTTGATCGCTTGGGCGCCTTATGAACTTGAGTGGCTGTTGTCATCAACTGTCCGTGGGGTTGAGCTGTCGTCAAATCTCTTAAAAACTTCGCCATGTGACGCATTAGCATATTGTAAAGAAAAAATATATAAAAATGAAGATGCAAACATATAAAAAAGAAATGATAGGCTCAGAAGGGCTAGAACCCAGAGCCGTAAAGCCAACCAAAAAAAATGTTCTCTAACCTTCATGTTTGATATAATAAATTAGGGATGCCGATTCTTTCCGAAAAAGATCGATTAATAAATCGATTCAAATCGTAATCTAATGAAACGATTCATGAAAATATCGAGATCTAAAAGATATCTTTCTTTCGTTTACTTCCGATCAAAATCAATCTTTCTCCGATTTGCTTACAGGTTTTATATTTAAAGTATCAAAAGACACAACAAAGTACAGATTACATACGTAACTTATTTTTTATTTCTTTAGTGAACAGACGAAAGAAACTGAGCACTCAGCAGTTTTGCGAGTTTTTAAACATAAAAACTGTTATTCTTTACGAGTTGTACATTCAACTGTTGTAAATATTTTTATAGTTCTTATAAAAACAGAAAAAGATTTGATCTTAATTTTCTAGGGTGAAATATCGATTCACTTGATCGATTCAGCACGAAATATCGATTTAAACAGTCGATCTTTTTGGCATAAGAAATCGGTTATTCGAATAATCGAACTCAGATCGCCATCCCTATTCCCTATCTATATCTATTTGACAATGAGAAATTAGCATTGGGTGCGTTTGGCAGAAAAAAGCGCTAGCAAGCGCTTGTAAGCAAAATGGCGATAGTAAACAGTAAGCGCTGTCAAATCGAAAGTAGCTATTTTCCTCCAGGACACGATGTTAGTTTTAACCGGGGGGACCTAACGTAATTTAAATATATTTTTGTAAAGTATTTATATTAAAAACTTACCAATCATGAATTTTTAATAACATATATAATATTTATTCGTGTCATTATATTACTTAAAACTAATATTGCACAAAATAACTTATAAACTCTACTTCAAAACAAACAAATTAAATAAGCAAAATGGCGGATTGTGTCAGCGCTACTGAAGTAGCAATCGTGTCCTGGCCGAAAACTATTTCAGCGCTTATAAGCGCTTGCTAGCGCTTTTTTCTGCCAAACTCACCCATTGATTGACAAATAGGCATGTCGATTCGCTCATTAAAAAATCGATCTCCGAATCGATTTGAATCGAAGATACTAGAATCGATTATCGATTAAATCGAGGATTAAAAGATCGATTTTCGATTAATCGTGACATTTTTAAACACAATTCAAGAAATTGTGACTTTTTCTGTAATTGAACTTTAATATTATTAAAATAATGTATTAGTAATCTTATTAGTTAACATTACTATTATTCCTTCGAACCACTCCTGGTAAGCTTGAAACGCTTGTGTTAGGCGTGGTTCGCACATACTCCACTCGATCCCTTTTTTTACAAAGTGATTCCATGTATCACTTTTATTTGACATTTTAGGCTAAAAACAACAACGATAAATTAAGAAAAGTGCAAACTGCAACGTACATTTCTCCATAAATCTGTTTCAATCTAAAAACTCAAATATTTATCAAATCGAAATGAATGCTACACGAACAGAATACTGGTTATTTCCTTACTATAAAACTTCAAAATATAATATTTATATACAGTATCTAGGTATTTAAAAAGTACTCAATCAGTACTTACAGCTCACAGTTCAAACAGGTTCACAGCTATAATATTATATTGTAGTATGTATACGTAGGTAGTCTTTGTTCACAGCACAGATTAAGTTAGACCAACATTCCACAGGTAAGATTAGAGTTAGAATTGTATAAATGTAAATAAAATGACAACTTTTCGATATTGTTGGATGCTTTCATAAAAATTTTTATTCAAATATATATTGCGTTAAAATCATCAACCAAGTACATCCAGTTGTTATTGCGTCCCCCAACAACAAAAAATTAAAAAACTGCGGTATATTACCCCAGCCAGTTTGGGTATTTTATCGCTAGTTCTTGAATCAGAAGAATCAGTCCGATTCGAGAGGTTTTTGGATCGATTCAGTGAATCGATGCAGTGCTCCGAATCGATCTAAATAATCGATTATTTGACTCTAAAGAATCGATTTTTCGATTAATCGATTTTAGATCGACATGCCTATTGACAAATATAATAAATGATATGATAAGTTAGTCGTATCAAATATTTTATTTTGTTTAAGATATTCGCCAGTAAAGATTCGACGGTTTTTACACGATGGCTCGCAATATCCTCAAACTAGGTGCTCTCGAAGCACAAAAGACTGCCTTTTTGTTATGTGATATCCAAGAGACATTTCGTCCACATGTAAAACATTTTGGAGAAGTCGTAAAGGTGGCGAATAAAATGGTTAGTATCAAGTGATATTACACTTGTTGCATAACAGTTAGCTTTTTGTATAGTAACAAAAATATTTTTACCAAAGATATTGGTTATGCTGGTACTGGTACAGAACTACAACAAAAGAGTGCTGAACGTCGATTTGATTTTTGAATTATTAAGTCTTTAATTTAATCGAACTGCAGATAGACTGTGTGAAAAGTTTGACATTAGGGAGATAAATCCTAACACAAAAAGGTGTTAACGCCTTTTCTTGACAATGTATCTTGTCTATTATTGACAATGTATATTATCTAATAATCATAACTCCAATCACAATACTGTGCTATGATATGGTATTTACTATCTTAAAAGACCTTACAGAAAAATGTAACTACAGTGGGACCTCTTTAATCCGACCTCTGAAAATTTACCCCCTGTTCGGATTTGTGGAGCATTCGGAGAGGGACAGAGAATTTATAGGGTTTTTTTTATGAAATAAAACAAACAGTATTGTGAAATTTTAAATGTACATTCATACTTAAACTTAAAATTTATTTAACTTTTTTTAAAGAAATCCAATATTTTAGTTTATTGGGAGGTATTTAATGACAAATAAAAAGCTTAGTCTTGCAATTTACATAAAAACATTTTTTCTGGCACAGGAATGTCCATTTGGTCAGCCCCTTCAAAGCATATATGTAATGCAGACACCACACTAAGCGGAGAACTGCAAAGTTTGCATAGGTGTCTGGATCAGAAGGGGTTCGGATTATATAGGTCCTGCTGTATACTTTTAAGCATAATTAAACTTATTTATTTTATTAATAAATCTCTCTTTGATTTATACCAGAAAAATATTTTTTTATATGTTAGACATAACATTATACCCTTTTTAGTTTAACACGTTGGTGGACAGTACAAGTTAAGAATTACTTCCCAAATCACACTACTTATTCTCATACATTGCCTATGGGCGTAGTGTCAATACGGCTGTATGTAAAATGTTGTTAAGTAACAGTACGCCTATAGGCGCCTACATCTATGGGTGTACTGTAATATTCCATCTTAAGAAAACTATGCATAAGGATTGTACGCCTATAGCCGTAAACTTGATTATACAGGTAATAGTAATAAAACTGGTATTTGTTACATACATTTGTTTAATAATAATCACAAACGTAATCAGCTTTTTTAATAAGTAACAAGTTGCTGGTATAATCAACTTTTTATCTTACCTTTGTTGAAATTCAAATAAAATATTAAAACTCTTCTAACTTTAGATGTACCTTACCACTAGATATTATGATAGTAATCACAGCAACATTTTACAATCTTGACACACTTGAACAACTTGAACACAATATTATAAGGCACCTTAAGGTTAATTTTAATTTCAATTTACTTATGTTATCAGTCTTTTTTAAATTCCGAAATTAAATTATCACAATTGTAGTCTGCCAGCATCATTTAAGAAGCAATCTCATGCCAAAATTTGGTCTTAATATTAATAATATTTTCTTATAAGTCAAAACTTATTCAAATTCAAATCAACTCGTTACAATATAATTTAATCATCATCAGGATTTAGTAAACTTGCATGGTATGGTATGATGGCAAAGCAAGAGGTTAAAGAGGAGGGCAAAGAGGAGGTTAATCAGGACAGCCTTTGCAATGGTAACTCATTTTCTTTTGTATCTTTTTTTATATACAAAATTTGCATTTAAAAATGCAAATTTTTTTGTAGTTTCAGGTCATGCAGGCATTTGTTCTGGCCAGTGATCTTGCATTACAATCCCATCATTTTCTAGTATGTTAGTAGTGCATATCGTCGTGAGTTGGAATCGCTTGTTATTGTGAATACTGGATGTGTTTATCAAGTCGCTTCCCTTCAAATTTTTGTTCAAACCCATCATTTCCTGTATCAGTTCTTCTCGGTAGTTTATGTATGAGTACAAGCAAGAATTTTTTTTATATTTTCTATAAAGAAAAAAGGTGTTCCACACTGCAATGTCCATCATGTGAAATATTACTTTCTTGTACCATCTGATGGTTTTTCACGGACAAGGATAGTATGATACCATCTGATCACAACAATCGATGCCAGACATTCTGTTAAATGTATCAACTTCAGCATGCTTTGAACAGGACTTGCCAAATCTGTTTGAAACTTCTATGATCGAGAGATGAACTTTAGTGGTAACCATCAGGACAGGGCGTTTATCTTTCCAATTGGAAACATATAAAAATTATAAATTCTGTAAGTTACAAGAATTAAATTTAAAAGTTTCGATAATTAAAAACAAAAAATGATAACTTACCACTGGAGCCGTTATTTGCGCGCGAAAGTATGAGGTGACACGAAGTCTACCGCCGACGCGCACTACGTGACGAAATGTATGAAAATACGACGCCCACGGGCGTAGTGTATGGGTGGAAGCGTACCGGAATTCTGTCAATCTGTGTTTAACTTGATGTGTTGTAGAACTATGTACGATGACAGTAGGAAAGCTGCATTACTTTTGCGGTGACACTACAACATGCTCTTCCTTGTAAAAGTATTGAAAATCAAACGCCCTTAGACGTACAGCCGTGACACGTGTAAAAATAATGACGTCTATAGGCGTTCTGTCGTATGATTCTTTACTACCTGAACGCCCGTGGACGTTAATGTCCACCAATGTGTTAACATGCTCCCAGGCTTTTTTCATTGCACAAATTCCATTTTAGACATTTTATTTTTTGGATGGACAGAATTTATTATTTTTTTCAACAGATTCTCCTTATCTTCATCAGCACTATGTAAGTAGCAATTTCATACATGGGCTTCTCTCAAAATAATAAATTTGAATGTGGCAGCAGTACTAGACCTTTTTCATTTTCAAATTATAAACATCAAACTACAAGGTTTTCAAACAATAGTTTTCTGTCTTACTTATTTCTAAATAATACTAATGCCATCATCATCGTCATTAGCCTGCAGCAGTCCACTGCTGGACATAGGCCTCTCCCAAGGCGCGCCACTTAGCCCGATCTTCGGCTACACGCATCCAGTTTCTACCAGCCACCTTGCGCAGATCGTCGTTCCATCTGGTCAGGGGGCGTCCCACACTACGTTTGCCTAGACGCGGTCTCCACTCCATAACACGTCTACTTCACCGGTTGTCACCTCTGCGACAGACAAGACCAGCCCATTGCCACTTCAGCTTACAAATACGGAAAGCTATGTCAGTTGGTTCTCCGGCGGATTTTTTCGTTTAGAATTTTGTCTACCAGAGAAACTCAGAGCATAGCTCTCCATTTCCCGCTGAGCGACTTTAAGCTTTTGGAGCAGAAGTATCGTCAGTGTCCACGTTTCGGCACCATAAGTGAGTACGGGCAGAACGCACTGGTTGAAGACTTTTGTCGTCAGACTTTGCGGTATGGGCGACGTGAAAACCCAACGGAGCTTTCGAAATGCTGCCCAGCCCAACTGAATCCTCCGATCGGCTCCTTCTCGAAGTTATTCTTACCTAGTTGCAATATCTGCCCGAGGTAGGTATATTCCTGGACAACTTCGAGAATTTCACCATCAACAGTAATTGGAACTGGCACTGACGTAATCGTTGAACATAACTTTAGTCTGTTCGATGATATCATCAGCAAAGCGTAAGTGTGAGATGTACTCACCGTTTACGTTAATACCGCGTCCTTTCCAGTCTAACGTCTTAAAAACATCTTCCAGTGCATTTATAAACAGTTTAGGGGATATAAAATCCCCCTGTCTCACTCCGCGATGCAACTGGATTGGTTTTGTTTGACTGTCCTGTACTTGGACGGACATCGTACTGGTGTTGTAAAGGCATCTCAGCACTTCGATGTACCGCAGGTCAATTTGGCACCGCTGCAAAGAATCTAGAACAGCCCAAGTTTCAATGGAGTCAAAGGCTTTCTCATAGTCCACAAATGCAAGACACAGGGGCTGATTATACTCTGTTGCCTTCTGTATTAATTGCCGTACTGTGTGAATGTTGTCTATAGTGCCAAATCCTCCTCGAAACCCAGCCTGTTCCGCAAGCTGAAAGTCTTCGAGTCTTTGCGCGAGTCGATTTGTAATGACCCTCGAAAACAACTTATAGGCGTGGCTCAGAAGCGATATGGGTCGGTAATTTTTAACATAGTCTTGTCACCTTTCTTGTGAAACAAGACTGTAATGCTTTTGCTCCACGCCTTTGGAGTTCTCCCATCTCGTAAGATGCAGTTAAAAACTCGACAGAGCTCTTTTAGCAAGGGTTGACTCCCAGCTTTTAAGAGCTCTGGTGTAACTCCATCTTCTCCAGGGGCTTTTCCATTTTTAAGTTGACCGAGGGCCAGCTCAATCTCCCCAAGGCAGATGTCTGGCAGCTCGTCGGTATACGTGGCGGGTCAAATTGGCTCTGGGGTCATCGCATTTAGGGTCGGGTTGTGGCTTATGTGAGGCATACAATTTGCCATAATAGTGTTCGATCTTAGAGAGAACCTCAGGCTTTTACCTGAGGACTTTGCCATCATGCGTCTGGAGTTTTGTGATGTGACTTCTTCCAAGCTCCCGAACAAAGATTTTGGATCCCTTGTTTCGCTCTATGGCCGCTTGTATAGCAATTGCATTAGAGCGACGCAGATCCCGCCTCACAGCTTTCCTCACAAGCCTGGTTAGTGTCACCTGTTCCGATTGTGATGCTGTTGTTAACTCACGCCTTCTTTTCATAAGCTGTAGTGTCTCATCTGAGAACTTCGAATTTCGGCCCGTATGTTGCTTGCCACAGAACCTGTTGCCCTCATCCCGTAAGATCTTAATCACGCTGTTAAGGTCAAAAGTGGGTCTCAGGGCATCGAATCGATTTTTAAGTTCTAGATGGAAGCGTTGGGAGCCAGTTACGGTTTGAAGCAGATTTGGTCGAATCGTAGACTTCACTAATAGGGACCTTTCAAGCGTAAAATCGATATTCAGAGTGCCTCGAACAAGTCGGTGATCGCTTCCGGTATTGAATTTGTTGAAAATGTGCCTTTTG